AAGCTCAAAAAGGGAAGGAAAGAGATTCTCTCTTACAGCTTCTAGAAGGATCCAGCTCTGCCGGCACCTTGATTTTAGCCCAGTAAGACCTATGGCGCAGAACTTTAAGGTAGTAAATTTATATTGTTTTAAGCCACTAAGTTAGCGGTATTTTGTTACAGCAGCGATTGGAAATGAATACACAATGTCAAAAAAAGTATAATGAAGAGGAATGGCCAAGATAGAAGGAATCAGAAATTGGGGTGGGGACTGATATATCTGAGTTTACAGTTTCATAGATGGGAGTCCCCCCAGATGATAAGCCCAAGTTCCTTGTCCACTGCATAACTTACTAAAGTAGAGCAGGGGTGAAGGTTGTTGGAACTGAAGAGGTCAAAGGATGTTGAGCCTAGGACTCATTTTATAATAAGGGTACCAGGGCTGGCCTGGTGGTGTAGTGGTTAAGTTCGCATGCTCTGCTTCAGCAGCCCGGGCTTCACAGGTTCAGATCCCAGGCATGGACCTACACACCGCTTGTCAAGCCATGCTGTGGCAGCCTCCCATATACAAAACATGGGGGAAGACTGGCACAGATGTTACCTCAGGGCCAGTCTTCCTCAAGCAAAAAGAGTAAGATTGGCAATGCATGTTAGCTCAGAGCCAATCTTCCTCACGAAAATAATAATAATAATAATAATAATAATAATAATAATAACAACAATAAGGGTACCAAAACAGAATACGGAGAGCATGGGCGAATGAAGTAGAAGCAATCAAATGGCAATGTCCTCCACGGAGGAGCAAAAGTAACCAGAAATCAGTAAAATACTGCTGAAAATGGACAGAAGATACTATCACTGTGCAGAATGAAACTCAAATGAGAAAGGAGTTTTGCATGAAAACAATTTGGACATGGCTGTGTGAAAGCAGAAAAATGCCAATACCATCACTGACTCCTGATATAAGAGGTTGAAGAAATCTAACTTCACAGGCCAAGGTGACACAAGAGAAAAACTAAAGGGCTGGGAGGAAAACCAGCAGACTGTGGCATCACAGAAGCAAAGAGAAGAAAGAATATGGTGGACAGCGTCAAGCGCTACATAAAGGTCAAGACAGAATCCAAACATATCCACTGAATTTGGTGAGTGGTGGAGACAGAAGCCAAATGACAAAACGTTAAGAAGTGATTGCAAGGCGAAACTGAGACAGAAAGCAAAGGCAGCTCCTGTGCGTGAAGCAAGCTAGAGAGGGATGGATTTAAGGACGTTAGTGAAATTAAAGACACCAATGTAAATGCCAATGGCCAAGACCCAACTGAGGGGGAGAGACTGAAAATACAGAAAAGAAAGGAAAAGAATAAGTTCCTTGAGAAGGCAGAGGATCTGGAAGCCAAAATACAAGTGAGTGATTAGTCTTTAAGAACGAGATACTTCCTCTGTTGTAGTAGGAGGGAAGGAGGAGGGAAATCATGGAGGTTAAGGGACCTCTGTAGATTGGGAGAGAAGAGCTGAGACACTTCTGTTAGGTGGCTTCCATTTTGTTTGTGAAATAAAAGGAGAGGTCATCCACCAAGAGTGAGAGGAGGGGTTGGGAGTTGGGGGAAGAAGTGGAAACTTTGAAAAGAATAGAGGTTTGACATAGTCAGTGAGAAGAGGAGGAGAAGGATTTCCATGGCGGGTACACCCTGTTGTGAGATTTTCTCCAGCACCAATCAGCTGTCGGGGTTCAGGCACCAAGAAAGCAGATGGCTGATTTTGCCTGGGCTGTGTATGACAAACGAGAGGTGAAAGGAAGTTTATAGCTCGGGTGAGAGAATAACTAAAGTGATGGTCATTACTCTAAGCTGGACAAGAAAGTGAATGAAGACAGGAAGAGGCTGATGGGAAATTGACAGGTCAATGGGCTTAGGAGCCAGAGAGAACAGTGAGCAGATTGAAAAGAGAGGAGATGGCTGGCTAATTTAAGGTGGCTGCCTGAATTGGTCACTTTGGAAGGAGAACAGTTTCAAACAAGAAAATCCAGGATGTGAATATATGAGTGGATGGCTGGGGTGAAGGGGAGGAAAAGACTATTGCAGCTGTGACGGTCAAGGAGAGGTTATTCATAACACCATAAAAGTCACCTAAGAGAGCAGGAGTGCCAGGAGTGGAAAGGGAGACACGGGAGTCAGCGGGTAACGTCTCAATGACTGAGGAATGCTAGGTGGTGAGAAGATAACATCTATGCAGAAATAGAAGTATAATGATGTACACCTGAAATTTATACAATGTTATAAACCAATGTTACTGCAATAAACAAAAAATTAAAAAAAAAAAAAGAAGATAGCATCAAAGAACTCTTCGATTCCAGGCAGATAAAAGCATAATCAATCATAAACTATCATAAATGATTCAAGTTACTAAAAGCTCTGGCTCTAGACTAAGCAGATCTGGGCAAAATTTGAAACTATTTCTTACCTCTTTTTCATCATTTTCTCAAGACTGCTAAAAAGACTCATAGTAGAAATAAGTTAACAGGGATGGTGTGCAGAAAACAGTTTACATTTTAAGCTTGGGACTGCTGTGTGTAGAAAGGCCTGCCTTCAAGGTTGGCCCGTGGCTGGCATCTAGAACTTGGATTTTGGGAGGGTTACTATCACTCTAACTGATAAACGTGGACAAACTGTTTGTACAATGTGCTTTATGCTGAACACCTGCCATCCGTCTGAGAGTCTGGAACTTTGGTACATGCTGTGCCTCCATGATCAGCCCCCAGTAAAAACCTCAGGCACTGAATCTCCAACAATCTTCTCTGATAGACAGCATTTCACACGTTGTCACAACTCACTGCTGAGAGAATTAAGTGTGACTCCACTGGGAGGGGACTCTGGGAGCTTGTGCCTGGTTTCTCCTGAATTTCTCCCTCTCTCTTTCCTTTTCCCACTGCTGATTTTGCTTTGTATCTTTTGGCTGTAACAATCTTAGCCACGAGTATGACAATGTCCTGAGTCCCATGAGTCCTCCTAGTGAATCATTGAACCTGGGGCTCTTGGGAACCCCTGACACACATGAGTTTCTGTCTTTGCTGGAAACTGTGGTTAACAAGCAACAAGCAATGCCAATAACATCAGCATTTTACTGTGAAATGTCCTGAATGTGTTCTTGTGTTTATAGGTTTCATATACAAATTAAGTTCACAGTTTACTATACCAACTCTTCAGGAGAAAGAGGAAAAGCCACATAAGTGGTACAGCTCTTCATCACAAAGGGCTTAGAACATATTCCTTCTGTGCCATCCTGAGCACTATGATTCAGAACATGAACTTCCCAGGTTTGAAGCCTGGCCCCGCTGTGTATCACGGGGCAAGTTAATATGTCTGGCCTTGGTTTCTTCATCTGTAAAATTAGAATAATAATAGTATCTATCTCAAAGGGAGTTGTAAGGATTAAACGAGTTCATATATAAAGTACTTAGAACAACATATGGCATATAGTGCTATATATTCTTATTACCTCATATTCCAACTCCAGATTTTTATTCTTTTGTGGCTTGAATTGTATTGATAGTATTACCTCTATATATTAGGTCTGTTAAACTTTCTAAAATATAAGACTTTTTAAAAATTTAAGCTACAAATAATAAAAACTGAACTACAAAAGACAGAAATGTTTTGGTCTCAAATGACAGAATTGAAATTAAATCTTGGGAGTGAACCCTTCTCCAACATAAAAGCTTCTTTCAATACAAGAACATAAGAATGAAATCTAAAACAAAAACTGTCACTTGGTCACTCAGGTAGTCTTTCTGAGAATGACTCAAGTGTATGTCTCACCTCCTGAAAATTCCAAAGAGAGTGGACATAGAACCAGGGGTGGAGCCAGAGCCAGAGCAGTTGTAGCCCAGGAAGATGAAGATCATATAAAAAATAACCACCCAGAGGCCCCAGGAAATGCCAGGCGACTGTTTTTGCCTGCCCATAAGTATTTCTATATTCAGTTTACTAATATCCGCTTTACAAGATAGCCTATCCCTCCCGCCCCACATTTAAAAAATGTCTGGTGTGTTATAACTGAATTATAAAATGTGCGCTGCAAGACTTAATTGGTTCAGTAGTCTTCTAGGTTCTAATCCCACAGTTCACCTAAGTCTGTACCCTTAGAAAAAAAGAGGGATCCAGGTAGAGAGACAGCACCAACCAGCCACATCTATAAAATCCCTGTCTTATTCCAAGTCTGATTAAAGAAAAGCTTCTAAGCGACCACTGTGCAACCAGAAAATGAGATAAAGAATTATATTAAGCTGGGGCTGGCCTGTGGGATAGTGGTTAAGTTCTCACGCTCCGCTTCAGTGGCCTGGGGTTCACAGGGATCCCAGGCACGGACCTATACACCACTCATCAAGCTATGCTGTGGCAGGGTCCCATATACAAAAAAGTAGAGGCAGACTGGCACAGATGTTAGCTCAGGGACAGTCTTCATCACCAAAAAAATAAAAAGAAAAAAAAATTTTTTTAAATAATAAGGTTTTCAAATTCTAGATTTTCAGTTCTTCAGCACAGAGGAATAATCACATGTACTAAGTCATAGTAATAAGTAATCCATTACTAACTTCTATTACCTGCGTGCCTGAGACTTTGACCTCAAACCCCCCAGGATGTCGGAGCCACTGAGGACAGGGAACCTGGTACCTCATTTGAACCACACTCCATGTGGCTGGTTTCCTATATGCAGATGGCTGAGACCACCACTGGGAAAAGTGCTTGCATGGATAACAGATCACTGGTGACATAACTAATTAGGAGAATACCGACGTCTAGGCCAAGAAGGGTACCTGTTGAGGCTCAATTCACGTGGTAAATTATGACTGGCATTCCCTTGAAAACAAGCTAAATTAAGCCAATTCATTTTACCTCTCCGTTAACATACTCTACAGGAAAATATTACACCAGATGAAATATCTCTTTTCTAGGTAAGGAGAAATCAAATCCAAAGCATTGTGGGATAGTGAATAAATTCAAACTCACCATTGCAAATATACTGACAGTTGGTTTCTTTTCTTTCTTCTCATCTTTTTTACTGAAAAACACAGCAATAGAATTACACAAAACTTTAAAATTTATATAATTTTTTAATCACCAAATTAACACAGACCTTATATTTAATAACAACTAGGACAAAGACATATATCTACAATATATTACTCAGTAAAAAAAAGAAAGGTTAATAGTATGGTCCCATTTATGAAGTTTCAAGATAAATATGTTTACATGTATCTTAGAAATCCATACATGTGGTTATCACTGGGTGTCGAGATTTCTATCAAAATATTTTCTTCCTTGTGCCTTTGGTATTTCCTAATTTTCTATGATGAATACACACACAGACACACAACTTTTGCAATTAGAAAAAATACTACAAAGAGCTTCCTGTTTTTATTCTAATTACAAAATCATTCATGCTCTCCAGAGTTAATCCCCTGAATTATCATCTCTCAGACACTGTATCTATCTACTACCTAGATGTTATCCTTAATCATTCCCTTTACTAACGGAGAGTAGTGGCAATCAGATGCTGGGCATAAACTAACCTGGAAGAAAGGTAATTAAATCATTTTCTATGAGCAAATCTAATTCTGAAAGGATGTCTGGGGCCCTAAATGGACCATTATGGCAATAAATGCAATCTAGAAAAGCTATAGTTAAAAAAAGATGGTCTGTAAACTGTCAAAAAGCTGCCTTCAGGCACAAAAAGGTTAATAATTATTTTGAGCCCAGATTCAAATGAATGTAACTCTGTAACCCAGTTTCCACTCTATGTAACTGCCACCGAGGACATGAGAGCAAACCAACCACAACCAGCCTCTGCATCTGTTTTTTCGTTTTGTTTTGTGTGTGTGTGTGTGTGTGTGTGTGAGGAAGAGTAGCTCTGAGCTAGCATCCACTGCCAATCCTCCACTTTTTGCTGAGGAAGATTAGCCCTGAGCTAACATCTGTACCCATCTTCCTCTATTTTGTATGTGGGATGCCACTATAGCACAGCTTGATGAGCTGGGTGTAGGAAGCAGAGCCTGAGAACTTGCCCACTACACCACCAGGCTGGCCCCCCTCTGCATCTGTATTTTTACATGTACAAAAGAAAGACCATTTCAGAGAAGAATCTCATTATTTTTACGCAGATTTTCAGGTTCAAAAAGTAAATTAGTATGTCTTTGTTTTTTACACTAAGCAAGGTCAAAGAGTTGAAGAGACTTCTACAGAAAAGAATCCAGTGTTTACCCCATATTTGGCTTTGGAGCGCTGTTAGATGGACATAAAAATACACAAAATACACAAACATAACTCTTCAGATCTGGTCCCACCCTAGTCCCAGTAAAAGCATCGTTTCAGTATCTCTGGAACCAGGATGACAGGAGCAAAATAGCCAAACATGACTGAGTTTTAGCTCTAAGCTTTTTATTTTTAATTTTTTTGTTTCTAAAACACTCGCTACTCTGGAGAATTTGTTCCAGCCTCTGGCTGAGTAAACACTTCCCACGCACCATCTCGTTTAATCTTATCTTAATCTCTGTGGGTCAGGTATATTTTTGTCCTTTTAGAGATGAGAAAACTGCAGGTGAGAAGAGTGAACTGACTTGTCCAAGGTCACATAGCTAGAACAAAGCCAAGGTTTAACCTGAAAAGTCTGTCCCCTAAACACCAACATATTCTGTGCAGCCTCGGACTTCTGAGATACTGCACTGCGTGGAAATGCACTTCCTCACCAGCTCTTCTCCCTACTAGATTACTCATTTATCTCCATCAGCTAGAAACAGTGCTCACAAAAGGCAAGTCGCTTATCAAACCTCATTTTAATGAGGAATCTTTACAAATACAGATATTCCAAATGGTACTGTTATCCAAGCATTATACCTATTAGCAAAGCCACATGCTTTTTTACAATTCCAAATTCAAATATATAGTTTAAAAAAAAAAACAAACTCTGGGGCTGGCCCGGTGGCGCAAGCAGTTAAGTGCTCGCGCTCGGCTTTGGTGGCCCGGAGTTTGGATCCCGGGTGCGCACGGATGCACTGCTTATCGAGCCATGCTGCAGTGGCGTCCCATATAAGGTAGAGGAAGATGAGCACAGATGTTAGCTCAGGGCCAAGCTTCCTCAGAAAAAAGAGGCGGATTGGCATCAGATGTTAGCTCAGGGCTGATCTTCCTCACCAAAAAAAAAAAAAAAAAAACTCATAGGAAAAAAGATCAGATTTGTGATTACCAGAGCCACAGTTATAAGGTATAAATAAGTACTAAGGATGTAATGTACAACATGATGACTATAGCTAAAACTGCTGTATGATATACAGAAATGTGTTTAAGACAGTAGATCCTGAGACTTCTCATCACCAAGAGAAAAATTTTTTTCCTTTTTTCTTTTTGTTTTATCTATATGAGATGATGGATATTAACTAAACTTAATATGGTAATCATTTCACAGTATATGTAAGTCAAACCAGTATGCTGTACACCTTAAACGTATACAGTGCTGTATGTGAATTATATCTCAGTAAAACTGGAAAAAAGAATATATAGTTTTATTAGGAACAGATTTAAAAAGCAACGATGATAAGCACAGTTTAATAAGAACTATTTAACCAAAAAAAACAATTTCTAGTTTGAATAAAAAGTCTGTAGGTCATGATAAGAACCAATAAAAAAATGAAGCTATATGCAGGCTCAAATTTCTTTTTTTTTTTGCGAGGAAGACCAGCCCTGAGCTAACATCCGATGCCAATCCTCCTCTTTCTGCTGAGGAAGATTGACCCTGGGCTAACATCCGTGCCCATCTTCCTCCACTTTATATGGGACGCCGCCACAAGGCTTGATGAGCAGTTCGTCGGTGCGGCCCGGGATCCCAACCTGCAAACCCTGGGCCGCCGAAGCACGTGCACTTAACCGCTGCGCCACCCGGCCGGCGCCTCAAACAAATTTCTTTACCATTTCCCTCCACATACCCTCAATACTTCTCACTCCAATATCCTTAAGTGTCTGTGTCATAAGTACATAGTTCTTTAGGGTGCCAAGTTAAAAATAAAAAAGTTAAAGAAAAATGGAAATATCTACCTTCCACTCTATGAAGTCTTTTTTTTTGTTTATATGAAAATTTTCAAATAAACAGAAAAATTGAAAGAATAGTAATAATGACTACCCAAATAAAATTCCCCTACGTTAAACAACTGTTAACATTTTGACCATATTTTTCTTATCTATGTAAGGAAGTATACATTATCATTCTTAATATTTTCCTGAACCATTTGAAAGTAAGTTGCAAACATCACGGCACTTCATATGTTTTCCTACCATTATCACATCTAAGAAAATTAATAGCAATTGTGATATCTAATATCCAATCTACATTCAAATTTACCAAGAATGCTTTCTATAGCTTTTTCCTTTTTTTAACTCTGATATAATCAAGGTTCACACCTTACATTTGGTGATTTTGTCTCTTTAGTCTTTTTTTTTTAAATCTAGAAGTCCTTCTGCCACACCCCTAACACTGACATTTTGTAGGAAGAGGGACAGATATCTTACAGAATGTCCCACATCTTGGATACGTCTGTTTCAAACCAAATCCAAATTGAGAATGTGCAATAAGTATAAAATACATAGCAGATTTGAGGACTCAGTATGAAAAAGGGAATGTAAACCATCATATTAATAACTCTGATTACATGTAGAAATGACAATATTTTCTAGATACTGGGTTTTTAAAAATATATTTTCAAAATTAACTTCACCTGATTCTTTTTACTTTTTAAATGTTGCTACTAGAAAATTAATAATGATAAATGTGGCTCACATTATATTTCTATTGGACAGCATCAGTCTAGAAGCTTGGTTGGGTTCAGACTAAATGTTTCTGCAAACATATTTCCTAGGTGCGTCACTAACTTCCTAGGTGTCCCGTCACTAACACAGTCTGTTCCACCATGAGTGCTGCCAGGTCTGATCACTTGGTTAAGGTTGCTAATTGCAGAATCTCTCCTCTAGAAAACCACGTTCCTTTCACCAATTAGTAAGAATTTTGGATAATTCTTAGTTACAACTTTTCTCTGAGTGGTTTAGGATCCATTAAAAATCCTTGCCTGAATCAATTACAACAATGCAGGTTCCAATATGATAGCTGGCATTTTTCTATAAAGAATGTTCCTTTATTCTCTCTACCTCTCCCAAGCTTTTAGTCTTCCTCCCCCTCTCAAAGTTTTAGTAAGGATTCATGGATTGTACTGTATTCAATATTTCACAATCAAGTACTGTCATTATTTGTTTTGATGCTCAAATTGTCCCAGACGTGGCCAGTGGAAGCCCCTTCAAGTCATCTCCTGTGTCCTTTTTGACAATTCCATTAAACTCTGCCTCCTTGTTTTCAGGTACCACAAGATACTCCAGGCTCATTTTGTATTTTCCTGGCCCCAGACATGGTTGGAATTAGCCATTTCTCTATGGGGTATGGATTCACTTTAGTGAGGAATGGTATTTACAAAAAAGATCTGGCACTAAGTGTGCTCATTGCTACTGTCCCTTTCAGTGGACAGAAACTGAACTATTAAAAACATCAGGAGTTCATTTTGAAGGTTACAATTCAAATTTAACGTTATTTTTAAAAAATTTATTTGATGCTCATTTGTATTTCTTTTCTCTCACACTGAAAAGCTTGGTTTCTAATAACATTAATATATTTACCAATTTGCTTTATTTTACAACTTATTACAATGTACTACTAACAATGAACGTATTGTGTGAAGTTTAAAATTTCCTATGTAGACAATGCACTGTTATCAAAATCTACTTAAAATAATTATCTTCCCTATGTGGTTACATTACCACTTCTATATACAATCAGGATAATTTCACACCATGCTAGCTTCTTTGGTACTGCAGTCTTCTCTTTTCAGAATGTCTTCTACAAGAGCTTCAGAGTATTCATTAATTTTACAAAATTAACACCTAAACGTAGTTTTGGCCTGCTGTCCCATCTGCCATGCCACAAACTTACAATGTTTATGTGGCTGTTTGACCAGAAGCAAGAGACTGGACCACAGAGCAGAGCACAAGCAGCACACGGTCCAGGCGATCAACTTCGCTGATAAAGCAGAAGGTTGTAAAACACAGAAAACACATTGGCTTGTCTGCGGCCTGAAGCTGAAGCAGCAGCTCACCAAGGCGATGTGCTCAGCTCAGCCAGAGAACTTCTACATGGCAACCGCTGGCGTCTCAGATAAGAGTAAAATCATCATCATCATCAACTCTTCATTCATTTCAGAGCTGGAGGCTAGAAACAAATCGGCCAAATCTCTCAAGCCACGCAAAGTATGAAAGTAAAACAAACTGGCTACCTTTTTTCGTTAATTTTCAAGAAGTTCTTCTTCCCCCTTCTTCCACTGCGGCCTCCTTCAAGATCCATCGTGACCTGAGGAGAAACCACAGCCCATTAGACACACGCATGGTCCGCAGGAGGCGGAAGCGAGACTGAGCTTTACGCCCCCGCGGAGCCCGGCGAGCGGGGTCCCGCCCTGATGCTCTAGCTGCTCGGGCCGCGAAGGTCTCCGCAGGGGCCGCCTGCGCGCCGGGGCTCCGGCCTCTCGACGCGCGCCGAGTTGGAGGACGGCGGCTGCTCTGACTTTGCCTGGCGCCGCTGTGGCTCTCCCTCCAGGCTCCCCTCGCCGCGGACGACGCTCCCTCCGTCCACCCTCCGCGGGATCAGAGGCCGGCTCCCCGCACCGCGCTGGCCCTCCGCGCTCTGGGCAGTGTCAGCCGGTGCGCGCGGCTAGCGCCGAAAACTGAGGGCTGGTGGAGCTCCAGGGGCTCCCCGAGTGAGACCAGGTCTCACCCCACTTGGTCCCCATGGACTTGCCGATTGAAATCTCCCATCGCTTCCCCCGAAGCCCTTCTCCCGCAGGGACCAAGCTCAGGAAATTGGAGAGCCCGACCCTTCCTGAGAAGTGTCCCTATCTAGTCCCTAGCTTCGCGCACCCCTACCTCAGGTTTTCTTTCGGGGCGTCCACCAAGACGTGGATTTTGGAAGAAGAGATTCAGACTTGAGCGGAGAGACCGAGCGGATGCAAACAGCGCCCTGGCTTTGAAGCTGGAGGAGCTCCTGCTCTAACGTGTGGGGTCTGTCTATAGCTGCCAGAGTGAGGAGGAGTGCGCAGCCCACACCCTGGCGCCCAGCCTATCAGCCTGACCGCTCAGGATGACTCCTGGACCCGCTTCGTTGAATGATTATTGCACGACAAGTTACAAAACAGGATGAAATTCCAGTAAGAAAGTCCTTGCTTCTGTTGCCCCTCAGCTAAAGGGCAAGTAGAGAAGCACGTGTCAGCGGAATCATCCGGGACACTTAAATTTATAATCACGTCTGTACATGTCCACGTAAGTCACTGTATCCACAGAAGTATATTTATGTAGATACACAGTTGGCTCCCTGGGTAAGGGAAACTTTCTTTGGCATTGCCCATTCTGTGGTTAAAATGAGTTAAACTTCCCTCCTAGAAGCACCTTTAAAAAGGCCAAATGAAATTTTGCAAGAGTCTTCACCGTTTGACAGTTTCAGAGGGGTATCTGTTCATCTCTTATTTGAAGATAACTAGAAGGAAATAAATAGGAAGATTTTTAAATGTGTAAATGAAAACAGACATTTCAGGGTAGAAATAGTATTTAAAAGGATGTATTATTTTCAAATTTTAGACATCAGATCAATGCCCATGTTTTTCCCAAGGCGTTTCAAAATCTTACTCCCCCTCCACATCTGTTGCCACTTTTCCTCTCTTTTTTTTTTTTTTGCTTGGCGAAGATCAGCCCTGAGCTAACATCTCTGCCAATCCTCCTCCACTTTGTATGTGGATCCCAGCATGGCTAGAAATGGTGTAGGTCCGCCTGGGATCCAAATAGCCAACCCCGGCCGTCCAACGGGAGTGGGCGGAACTGAATCACTACCCCTAGGGCGGGCCACCGAAACTCTTACACTTTAATTCGGATTATTAAAGTAAGTATGGTGTATTTGAGCATATTACTTTGGTTGTAATTTCATTCCATATTTACTACTATAATTCATTGGTTCTTCTTGTCTACACTTTTCTAACTTGATGAAAAGTAAGTGCAATCTTTACAATTCAAATTCATATGGCATTTAACTCAGACATTTTTGTACTTCTTATAAACCTAGGGAAAACAGATGGTTGTGTAACGTTTAGTCTGTATCCTCTGACTTAGACCTGTTGCCTCTCAGCATGCTGCAAAAGTTTAAAAGAAGAAAATGTTTTTATTTTCTACTGCATAATGTGAGCATTTTCCCTGCTTTCTTTAAGTAAATCATTCTTTAAAGCCATAATTTTCTTTCCACCCTCTACTCCAGATTTTCCTCGCCTGGATTTGTCCTTAGCCGTATAATCAAGTTTCTTTCTTCACAAACCGTTAATTAGGCTTTCTAATAGGCCACTACTTTTCTCTCTCTTCCTATTGGATATGCGTGTGTACAGCACTGGTTCACTGCTTAAAGGCTTAACGTCAATCCTGTGGCCCACCTGGGGCAAATGTATAAACTTTCATCTTCCTTAGATGCATTTTTATTCTGATTCATGCTTCTGCTCTCTTTGTTTTACTTTGTCCCACCTTTAGTTTGTGTTCTTGTTATAGTTTATAT